ACAGCAAGATGGTCCTGATAGCAACATGACATGTGAGAATCAAACATTGAAGTGTTCATCCAACAATTGTAATGACAAAGAGAAGAAAAGGATTGAGGAATGTTGCATGGGCAACAGAAATGACTGTGGGATGCAGAAAGGCTGCTCCTCTTCACAAGGGTTGATAGTAGAAAGGAGAGAACTTGGTGGATGCTGCAGGACCTACACAAAGGCATGTGGGAGTAAAGATAGCTGCTGTGCGAGTGGGAGAGTACAATTGCCTGAAATCATAACAGAGTAGAAGAAGAAAAGCACTGATTAGGCCAGTAAAAAGATCAGAAAAAATAAAAGACAAAGGAGAGGATGAGGAGATCTGATTTTGTGGGTTTCTTCTTCATGTGAGATCTACTAGACTGGCCATGAACCCTAGCCATCTTGTTCAAGAATAGGAGCATGATAACATGCTTTTTTTTTTTTTGACAACAGACTCTAAGATCATTTCTACTGAGGCATAGGAAATGCTGGAAAGCTTGATTGAAAGATTGGAAGAGCTGATAATGGAACTGAACTGAAAGATCATTAGCCAAGAATACAACCAATGAATACTGCAGATCTGAGTGGAGTTGAGAATGGAACTGAACATTGTTTGTGAAGAATTGTAGCATTGATACTCACCTTCAAATGGATGATCAACTCTGGAATATACTCGAAATCTTCATGGCCTTAGCTACTAATTTGAACCACAAGACTTTGTTGTTGTGATCTAAAGCTTATGGTGCTTGCATTTCATTGATCAAGAACATTCGAGTTTGTTCTGACGAGTGTATGATTTGAGTTCTACTGAACATGATTCAGAAGAACAAAAGTGAAAATGGGATGTCAAAACTAGAATGCATTAGGTACAGGAATAGTGTATCCAAGATATATTACATGTGGTGGAATGATTTATTCCAGATGTTCAGCTTGCTTGTCTGCTATTTAGTACAGAAAAAATATATATGATGCCATACATAATGTTAAGTATATCTAGAAATAAACAGTAGAATGGCTCAAAACAGCTATTTGTAGACATGCTTCGACTTCAACAATGCATCTCGCTTTCCAAAGTGGATTTCATGTTTCAACCTAGTCTTGGGGCTTTTCCAGCTCCTCCATGAATTCTGTTGTCATGACAAGATAATCCTCCAAGTGCAGTCGCTTCCATTCCTTGGCATCAAAAGAACATCTGAATGTTAGTACATATCTGTCATTATCCATTCTTTGGCACGAAATAAATAACATTCAAAAGCTAGTATAAATCATTCATTATCCAAGAAAGAAAACTGACTATGTTTTTACAGAAGAAAAATATAAATACTAACTAGACACCGTAAGCAAAAGAAAGTTTACATGGGGTTGACCAATGATGGATTGACAGCTAATCCTTTAACCCATAATGCTTCAAAAGGGCATCCTAAACCACAAGTAGGGTGAAGACCCATTTAATCAATTGAAACCAAGTTCAATGGAAGAGATATGAAATGGCAAAAAAGGTTTGCGTGGGATGGATATTAGACCACATGCCTCCCACTGAGGAGGAATAACTTTCACCATTCAAGATAAGAGGACAGTTACAAGGCTGACTGGCATTGAAAGAATTGAAATGGTACACTAGTTTTCAGTATTGAACAGAGTACAGCAAAGAGATTGTAATTGCAACAATCAATAGCTGACCCAAAGTTGCAAACGATAGTTACTGAACATCCTCTCTCTCTCTCTCTCTCTCTCTCTCTCTCTCTCTCTCTCTCCCGCCCCAATAAATACAAAAGTTATATGACAATATTAATTATTCTCAACCATCAAAAACAAAGTTCAGCATAAAGCCCTCTAATTTCATTACACGAAACATGTTGAAAGCAAGAGAACTCATAATGAATTTGGTATGAGAGTATCAGTAAACATGAAATAATATTACAGTAGTTCTATCCTGGAGAAAGGAAAGTTAGATATTTCTTAAATGCTAAAATATATCAAAATTACACAGTTATATTTCTCAAAAAAGGAGAAATATATCAAAATTACACAGCCTCTATGAACTTTTAGCCGTTTCATCTTACAAAGAAGAAAAACTTTTGCAATTATGATTAGAGATATAATGTGCCTCTTACAGATCATGAAAGAGAAACTCATGGTGTAAAGTGAGAATATAGCATGTGTAATTCTATACTTGAATATATGTGTATATAACAACCTCACGAATTTCTACTTGTATGCCCAAGAAAATCAAGCTACTTCCAATAGTAGAGTGAACAAAAAAGAAGAGCATACCTCAAAATCCCACTCCCCATACAAGTTTGGATCATCCTTGTTACCCCAGACATATGCATCAACTATTAGTTTCTCAGAATTATCCTACAACATAATTCAACATCCCTTGAGACCAAAGATTTGCTTTTGCTGAAAAGATTGCATTTTTCAAGATGGATGCTACTACTCAAAGTAAAAGTTTTATGCATAGATCGGTTGTCTGGAATGAGTGAGAGAAACAGATTCTGATCTAACATATTTTAAGAAAAATCTTAATGTATTAGAGGAGACATGGAGTCGATTTAATTGAAAAGAAAAAAAGAGATGGAGTGCCACAGGAAAGGAATGAGAATGGTATGAAGATACGAGAACAGTCAATTAACAAGATATACTTCATCTTTGTGTGCTAGGCAGAAAAGGACCAGAAACACTTGAGTAAGAAAAGAGATGTCCCTATTAAAACTTAACAAAAGGAATGTTGAGGAAGAATCAACAAAGCTTAAAATGATAGAAAGGTAGTACTCATAGGCAATGACAAACCACACACAACTGAGAATCAGAATTAAAAAACATCAGAATTCATGGTGCCTCCTTTTTTCTTTCTCATTGTCTTACTTTTATGGAATGAATGTTGACAGAATTTGAAAACCAGTTTCATGTGGCATGAGCTACCCAGATTAAAGTCATGCTACACTACACTGTGCAAAGCCACTTACAACCAAAGAAACCTCAACAGCCCTTCTCTCATATTCGACGTCTTCAAAGGAATCTAGGACATCTAACTCTTGATCTGTGATGCCCCGTAAAACCTGCATGCCAAAATCAAACCAAGCATTAGCACATCTGAAAGTTTTGAGCAATCACTTTAAGAACTCAGCTTTTATATAATCCTGTATCAGATTATTAATCAATTATGAATGAAAATTTTGTTAAAATATACTATGCATCATCAACGAACTCTAATGACTAAGCTCTTAAAAAGAAGTACCTCCATGGTGGCATTTTAGAAGCAAGAAGATGTAACAGAAGTACAAAAATACCACAACACAAAAAATTAAATGAAATGGACTTCCATGGCATACCTCTCCTGCAACATTCTTACAATCTATGGGCAGGATTGCTGGATAAACACGGCCCTTTATACTAAATCTGTGGCTACATGAAGAAAGCTTAATTTAGAAGCAATATGACCTACAAGCAAACCAATACATATGAAAACAAGAGATATGCGCTTCGATGAACCAGAAAGAGCTATAGTAGATAAATCCAAACATTAAAATTAAAATCTTAGATGGTTGCTGCAAATATAGACACTTGAGTCCAGGAACTACTCTTTACAAGTTCTCAAGAAGAGCACCTAAATGTTTCTGAAGGTTGTTTTCCAGGTTCACTGGAGTCACAGTTGAGACCAATTGTGCCACTTGTAAGCACAGGGAAAAACTAGTCGTCTTGTATTTCTGTCCAGATTTCTTAGACCAAATTGATTACTACCCTATATGTGGCGAACTTTCCAAGACAGTATCAGTATTACCACACAGTTTCTCCAGTAATATCTTATCAGTGTGAGGCACAAAGGAACCACTTTTCATCCATGTTAAACTCAAAAGTGTCGCATGCATTGTTAATCAAGTAACTAAAGATTGAGCACAGTAAATTGGTATAAGGATCGAACAAAGGCGATAAAGAATCTGATTAGGTTACCCCAAGTCCCAAAAGCTTGATACCAAGATAAACCGGTATGCTCAAAAAGTTCCCAGTATATTTACAAGCTTTAGTATCCTCCCTCATGCGCAAGGACGTGTGAATGAAACTATGATGAAAGTCCAGATGAAGAACTTGTATTGCATAAGTTTTATTAATTAAACAGTGGGAAAGACAAATGTCTGCATGACCTGCTCGTACCATGATAAGGAATTTGAGCTTTTAGCATTACTGGTCATCCAATCAAATCTTTATCAAAAGTTAAGTATATCAACGCAAAACCTTCAAGCTTATGAAGACAATTGAGAGTGGAAGCGCATTGGAGCATTGCAATTGAAACATGAACCGTGACTTGAATTGCAAAAGAAGAAGTACTCCTCATATCTGATAAAGGAGATCAAATCTCATGCCAGCATAGACCAGGTTCCTGGTCGAAAGGAGGAGGAGACATACTAATTATGGAGGATGGCAGGGGAGGAGGGGGGAACTCGCTTGAGAAGCACGCGCACCACCTCATCTGCCAATAGAGTTCCGTAAACGAAGACGCTGTGGAGACGAGGAGCGGCAGCGGCGGCCATCGCTCCCCAACGCCACACCACCACCGATTTCGTTGACACAGTTGGGGATCCCCCCTCGATCTGTTATCGTCACGAGCAAGACACGTGAGAGGCTCCCCGTTAGTCGGATTGCGGATTTGGCTCGGACTCAACGAACCCGTACCCGACCCAATCAACAACAATCGGCTTGATAAAACCTTCTTATTGACTATTGTTAATACCCAGAAACCGGATTGAGAATAGACGGATTCGGATCTTTTAACCCTCCGTATCACCTCGATCTCATCGACCTTTTCTCCCCGGTTATCGTCACGAGCGAGACACGTGAGAGTCGCCCATTAGTTCGGAAGTCGGATGCGGAGTCGGGAAGGACTCAACGAACCCGTACCCGACCCAATCATCAGCGATTGGTTTGATAAAACCCATACAACATAAACAGGATCAAGAATTAAAACAACGGATTCGGATCTTCCAAGCCTCCGCATCACCTCGATCTCAACGACCTTCCCTCGCCGCATCACGCTATCTCTCTGCTGCTCCACTCCGATCCCATCGCCTTCTCTTCCCCAAATCCTCTCCCGTCCTTCATCCTCTGTTTTCAGGTAATTTCGCTCTCCGGAGCTGCCCTTTCCTCCGAGCTTGTCGCGGTTGTGAACCGATCGAACTTTCTTCTTTTTCTCCGGTTCGAATTTGGAGTGGATTTCCTTTCATTTTGCTTCTTGTTCGTGATTGCAGGGTTTCGGGTTGATCATGGATTCCATTTCCGTCTGCAAGCCAGCATTCAAAACTCCTGTAAGTCACTGATTACTTTGTGTTCTATTTTCTCTGTCGTCGTCATTCAGCCGTTCGATTGAAGTAAAATCTGAGTGCTGGTTGAATGATCTTTAGTAATGGATATAATGTTTATTTTATTTGAGGATTCATGATCCAGATCACTAATGGTAGTCGTTCTAACAAAAGGAGCGTATCTTTTCTTTTTATGATCGGCCACTTCTCTATTGGTGCGGATTATAGTAGTCATTATATCAAATTGATGATCAGTATTGAGCTCTAAAACTCGCCTTTTAATATCATATCCAAGAAAATATCGTCTGTGGGAAGTAGTTACATGGTTTTGAGCTGCTTTGAGCTCCTTGATCTACGGGTCATTTGGTTTTTCTTGCATTTTTGAGTTATCTAAGCCATTCCATCGAAGTGATTAATAAATTTCATGGTGAATATGCATATAAGACATATAGATTGGTTTGTCATAAACCAAGCGATGAAGTATGAGAGTTATTGACAGTGTGCAGGGGGATTTTATTTCTAAGAAAAATAGACGGTTAATGATCCAAATTAACAATTGTGAGGTGTCTGTGATTGAATGATTTAACTTGAAAACAAGGCATCTGTTACTTCTAAATACTACTCCTTGGTGACTAGGACTAACAGGCTTTGCATTCCTTGGAATTTGTTCGTGATTATTTGATCATGCTAGGAAAAACCTTGTTTTTAATCAGGTCAAGTATCTCTCTGGTTTTATGACCAACCCTGGTTGCTGCATTTTATGCAGATTGGAAGTGCAACTCTTCATAGGTTCTGTAATTGCTGGAGCTGTATCATGGAAGTAGGATTTTCACGAGGATAGCAAAATAATTGTTATCTCAAAATATATAAATTATTTCAGTTCATGGGTCCTAATAAAAACTCATTCTATCCCCTTTGTTCATTTACTATTTCTTCTTCAAATATCTCCAGGGTGCAATTCATGGTTGTCTTATGACTCTTATCAAATGAAGTTGAATGCACCTTTCCTATATGTGATGCTGTCACTATTCGCAGTATGTTTGGCTTATTCATTTTGATGCGTAAGTTTGTGATATTTTTGTCAATAGGGTTTGTTATTGAGACCTGCTGGAGGGATAAAAGGCTTGCAGTGCAGCTTTATTGTAGGATATTCTCCAAACTTCTGCAAAGTATGTACTCCCAAAAAAATGACTAACCGTATGACTTGGAGATCAAAAAATCATGGCGGAGCTCTTAATATGACTTGCCAGAATAGGAAGATTCTTGTGGCAAATAGAGGAGAAATTGCAGTTAGGGTGATCCGAACTGCACATGAAATGGGAATACCTTGTGTAGCTGTGCACTCTACAATAGATCGGGATGCTCTTCATGTGCAGCTTGCAGATGAGGCAGTCTGCATTGGTGAAGCACCAAGCAGTCAGTCGTAAGTGCTGCCTTTTCTTGTTACTTTTGATTAACACTCGATTTTGTTAAAACAAGTCATAGAAGTACTAATTAAAACAACCACTACTTGTGCATTCTTGAATTTTTGCTGCTTATTTGGTTCAAAGAGAATGTTTCTACAGATGTTTATTTATGTGTGTGTTCTTGCATTTTTGACAGGTACTTGTTCATTCCAAATGTTTTATCTGCTGCTGTTAGTCGTAAATGTACCATGTTGCATCCTGGTTATGGCTTCCTAGCTGAGAATGCTGGTTTTGTTGACATATGCAAAGAGCATGGAATAAATTTTATTGGGCCCAATGTAAGCAGTTTTTACACTGATACCTGGAGTCATGAATTTATGATTTAGACATTTGATGAAAATTTTAATATAAATACGTTGACATTTGATTAAAAGTTTTAATATAAAGTATGTATTTTCTTGTCTCCTATGCATTTCAAAAGGCCATCATAATTTCTTTTCTTTTATCTGATATTCGGTGTTCCAACGATGCTTCAAACTTGAGAGTGTTAACTTTGCTTTTCTTACAAGATTTGATACTCTTGGCATGCACACTTGTTATCTTAAGTTCAATGGTGGTGTTATGCAGTCTTAGTTTGATATGAAGATTCTCTAAATATCCATTGAATGATCAATGTACTTTTCATTATCTCCACTGCTTATAAAGAACTTTAAAAAATTTTTTGCTCCTTGTTATGGTGCTCAGACAAATTAAATAGGCGAGGAATGTGTCTCTGACTTAAATACTTTTTCGGGTGTTAGATTCCTTTCTGTTTGTATTATTAAGTCATTTCAAAGTCAAGCTATAGAGCATCTAAAATAGTACACTTTGATACATTTGTTTATTATTTCGATAAAAAGGTACCTAGAGGTATAAGTAGTACTTAAGGATGCAAATTTAGAAAACAGTGTTTATACATGGGAACTTATTTGCCCAATAACCCTACATCTTTTAGTTGATTGAGCGCACAAGGTTAATCACCTAATCCAACCAATGGATGTAGAACTCAACTTGCAGATCAATTTATTGTAAAATCATATACATATGTGGTATTTTTGCTATTGCATGGCATGAACTCATGAGAGTAATCTGCTTTTAATCCTTTGCCAGCCTGACAGCATTCGAGTAATGGGTGATAAATCTACAGCTAGGGAAACAATGAAGAAAGCAGGTGTCCCTACCGTACCTGGAAGCGATGGACTCTTGCAGGTAAAGAAAGACTTCCTTCGGACATCCATTTTCTTTACAAATGGCATGGATTGTATCATCTTCAGAATTTGATTTACTCACATATCATGCTTGATTCCATGCTCTAATGGCTAAAATTTTTGTTATTTATAGTCAACAGAGGAGGCAGTGAAGCTTGCCCATGAAATTGGCTTTCCTATCATGATCAAGGTACATATTTCTTTTCTGAGATGGATTGATGTCACCATGGATTGACGTTACTAGTCCTTTATCTCTATTATTACTCAGGATATACTAACAGATTCTTTATGTTACCTTAAAGAAAACCCCCCCCCTTTTTTTTTTAATAAAACCATGCATCTTAAGATTTATACTGTTTAAGAAAGAATCAGAGAAAAGAAGTTTACAAAAAAGATTATTTTCTTCATGTCACGGTTTTGAAGTTTACAACTTCACAATTTACACTGCATCATGGATTATGGATTTGACTCACCAATTATTTTGATGTTATTATTCCAACAAACTGATTTCATGATTTTATTATGGTCACAAATTGCCTAAGTACTTTGATCAAATGAGTGTTGGTATTTGTAGTTTATCATAATCCCGTCAAAAGCTTGAAGCCTGATATTTAAATTTTCTGTTAAAAGCCTAGGGAGTTTTCTTTGGCATGGATGATGCAGAGGAATGGTGAAACGGATTTCTATGCATGTTGAGGACAATGTACATCAATAGTTACTCTTACTGAGAAGATGATACTGGCTCTTCCTCTTTTTTGCTGTTTTCATGAAAACTGTAGCAATTGTCTGAACAAGAGAAACTCAAAACTTTATTCTTGAGAAAAAGAGAAAAATGATACTCAAATAGGTTTGGTACAACAGTTCATGGGAATTGTTCACTAAGAAATTTCTAAATTTGACCTGGTCCTGTATTGCTTTTTGGCATGTTGTTTATATTTTAAGTTGTTTATGACAGAGTGTTTTAATTTTCTTATCAACCATTTCTCTTATATCAACTAATTGTTTGGTACCCATGCTGTTGCTACTGCTATAGAGTTTCTCTCAACTTCCCCTGAGCTAATTTTTGGGTCAAGATTTTCATATTAGATAAGTTGATAATCTGTCTACATTGATTCTTAGGCTCGTTTGTGACATCAAATGCATCCTCGTCTGGTTTTGTTGCTTACAATTCTTATATCTGGAGTCATAAAGTTGCCAAAACTTTTTAGATTGAATTAACTTGGCTTTTGGAACATCTGATTTGGTTTCCTTTATATTCTTCCCTCTTTCTTTTAGGCAACTGCTGGTGGTGGAGGGCGTGGAATGCGTCTAGCTAAAGAACCTGAAGAGTTTGTGAAGTTGCTACAGGTAAGCTATATGCCCAATTTCTACTGCCTAACGCTATGACTTATTTATGCCCTTTTTCAAGGTCACCATTTTGGCAAAGGGGCGTGAAGTGGTTTGAGTTCAGGAAGGAATTACCTGTTTTTCAAAATTCAACTTTAACCGAAAAATGTGTTTTATCTAGTTAGTAGCCCTTGTATATGTTGTTCTGTGATCTCCTTGACACACTCCACATTAATGTAAACCAGATGGTACATGTTCTCTGAGGACTGGTTGATTTGTACAAGTGCATGTGTTTTCGGGTGCATGTGCTTTGTTTGATACTGTCCAGCAAGTTAAAAATATCCTGCTTGGCAGATGTTACATGGTATGCATAATGACCACTATAGCAACTCTAATTCAATTGCTTGTCCTTTTGCATGTTGTAGTAAGTGCTAGCTATGAAAGCAATATCTGTAACTGAATAGGTGGATGAATTTGTCATCATCTTCAGATATAACAGAACAATAATTTAATGGTCACCTTGGTAATGTGTGGGTGATTCCATCATTTGTTATCCTCCATGTAGATTTAGATTCATCCTACTCTCGACATAGCACAGATTGTAGTTTAGTATTAGGTGAGTATAGCTGGGTCCTTTGAGTCTTAGTTAGGTTAGATTGAGTCATTTTTATGTCTTTTTTCAGATTTTTTTTACTTTTACAAATTTCAATTTTTTTCTATTAGAAGATTGAGGCTTTGTTAGATTGTGATATAGTTTGATTTTCTGTGTGGTGTTAAGTTAACCTGAATTTTTTAATCTAATTAAGTTTGTATGTTGGATGAATTTGGTCAAATCATTTTGTTTCCTGTGTATGTTTAATTTGGGTAAAATTTTGGCATGTTTATGTTCAGTATGTTAAACATAGGAGTCCAAGCTCAGTTAAAATAGAGTCTTACGGCAGTAAGTTACTGCTCATGGGTAGTGTAGCTGCTACAGTAACATGATCTTTCTGGAGTCCTAGGGAAGATCAACGGTTTCCTTCTGCAGATGGATCAGATGGGCCTCTTAATCTTGCTGTCAAGTACTGTCAAAAATTCCTATTTGAACTTATTAACTAATCCCATTCTTTTACAGTTGAATATGACTAGAAAGCAGAAACTCCAGAATATCTGATTTTTTTCTGAAAAGATTATATTGCACTTTCTTTTATTTAGAACTTTTTTTGTTAAAGGAGCTTCAATATGGAACAGTTAAAATATGTGAAATATGAGATTAGTTAAAATACTGAGCCATCTATATTCAGACACTTTGGATTTCTGTTAAGGTAAAGAATATATTTAGGAAGTTCTGGTATAAAGGCCAAAATTATCCTCTGAAGCTAGAACGAATCCATTAACTGATGATTCCATGTGGATCATGGTTTTCAATTATAGCTTCCACTTGGACAATGATAAATTATAGTTCCAGTATCTTGAGAATTCTGTTTCTACATAATTATTCTGTTTGAGCCATTCTTGGTTTTGGAACACGATCACTACCACAGTTGCACTTTAAACAGTACTATCTCTTATATGCAGCAAGCTAAGAGTGAGGCAGCAGCTGCATTTGGAAATGATGGGGTTTATTTGGAGAAGTGTATCCAGAATCCAAGGCACATCGAGTTTCAGGTAAAGCCTCCATGTTTATGGTATAAATAGTAAGACACTGGTAAACTGAGAGAAATATTCATTATTTCTATATGCTTAAACTAAGCTTGCTTAATTATATGCTAAAATTCAAGGCATTAGATTTTAGTTTGCTAACTATGTTTTTCAAGTTCAACATCTTGACTGGATTGGGACATTATTTTGCAATTTATTAATCTATCTTGAATTTTTATGAAAGAAATAATATTAATTAAAATAAAGTTGTTTCAGCCACTGTAATAAATTATGACAAATAATTGAATTTATCAGAAACTTTCTTGTGTAATGCATTCCTATTTACAATTGAATTTCAATTTAATATGGCAAGATCGAAGGTCTGGAATTTGCTGAAATTGTAATGACATTCTGTATAATTATTATAAGGTGACGGATGGATTAGTGAATATGAAAGACCAATGTGACGCTATTGTTCATTATATTTCATGAACACTAACTATATCTCTTAGTATATCTTTTCTCATTCTTCATTCTCTTAAATGATGTCATAAATCCATGATACCACATTTCGGTATCACCATGATTATTTGTTTCTAAATCAATTACTTCCTTGTATTGATACAGCATGTGTAAGTGAGCATGACAAATAATGCCTTACAGAAAGTTCACCCAAATATTCATCAACTTTAGCATGATTGATACTGCACATGTATCGGTATTACTATTTCTTTTGTGTCATTATAGGTTCTTGCAGACAAATTTGGAAATGTTGTGCATTTTGGAGAGCGTGATTGCAGCATTCAGGTACTTAAATATATGTTCTGTTTTCAACGCAATTTTATAGTTAATCTGTGTTGTTAACTACCTGGGTGCTCCCTAGTTAGCTAACTGGATCAGAGTTTTCTGGCTCTATCTAAAGATCTGTGTTGTTTTAAATACCTTGAACTGTCAAAATTAATCTCTTTTAACAATTCATCTTGCTATATTTGTTTATTTGTAAGTACTTTTATGAAATTTAACTACTATATCTAGAGGCACTTTAATCTGAATGAACAGCTACCTTACCAGCACAGCTTGCAGTAATCATTCCGTCATTTGGTTTATCTTTTCACATTAAGTTGATATTGTATGATCAAGTTATTACGTTTTAGGGTTCCTTCTATCCTATTGTCTGTGCTCCTGGAACTTTCTATCTTGCTGAATCTAGACCTGTATGAACTCCAATTATTGATCTTGTACAATGTATACTTGTTACTGTGAAGGGGCCAAAAGGATGAAACATATGGCTGTATGTTTTCTTACTTTATCTAGTGAGATTTTTTTCAGTAATAATTAGTGTTTTGACATTTGCAACATTTCCTAACTGTGTCATATGTAAAATATTTTCTGATTAAATTTTTTGTGCTTTTAGATGAGTTTGCAATTGTTTGTTGTTTGATCAAAATCATAATTGATTTTGGGAGCTATTCTGGCTGCTAAATACAAACACAGAAAATTAATTGAAAAGGACAATATCATGTTGAGTTTTTCATGAATTGAATAGAATTGACATCTCGAGTGGCAAATACTGTGTTATCATTGTCAACCACTGATGTCTTGATTGACCACTTAACATATTTGGATTCTTTATGCCCAAGTAAAATTTTGATTTTGTTATTCTTTAATCCCTAAAATGCTAAAATGCTGTTTATCAACCCTGAAGTACAAGATTTTTCTTTAAGAAGAACAAATAGCCAGAGAAAAACACCTGAGAATTAATCTCATCATGTGAACTGAAATGATTTGACAGAGAAGAAATCAGAAGCTTCTCGAGGAAGCTCCTTCACCTGCTCTGACACCAGAACTACGGAAAGCTATGGGTGATGCAGCTGTAGCAGCTGCTTCGTCTATAGGTTACATTGGTGTTGGAACTGTTGAATTTCTCTTGGATGAAGGAGGTTCTTTCTACTTCATGGAGATGAACACCAGGATTCAGGTATTGATGGTTGTTATGGCTCATGTTTGCTTTTAAAACTTGGAAAGTTGCTTTATGCTTTAAGAAAAGTTCGGATGGAAACCAGGTAGAACATCCTGTCACGGAAATGATTTCTTCAACTGATTTGATCGAGGAACAAATTCGAGTGGCTCTTGGAGAGAGGCTGACGTACAAACAGGTGAAAAGGATGTTTTACAATTTATTTTAGTAATTGATTCTATTGGGCCTATAACCTATGTTAATGTGCAATCAACAGGAAGATATTGTTCTTAGGGGACATTCAATTGAGTGTCGCATTAATGCAGAAGATGCTTTCAAAGGATTTCGTCCTGGGCCTGGTATTCTCTGTTCTTTAATCTTAATGAATAGTTTCTAGCAGCAATATCCCCTAATAATACGAGTTTATAAAATCTTTGATTTGTGTCTTCAAGTTTTATCGTAAGTGTTCTATTCAAGGTTCTTTTATTTTCCTGTACATGCAGGGAAAATAACCTCATACTTGCCATCTGGAGGTCCCTTTGTGAGAATGGATAGTCATGTTTACCCAGGCTATGTGGTTCCTCCAAGCTATGACTCTCTACTTGGAAAGGTGCCTTTGTTGATTTATTCCTTGCTATTTAGTACGTTACAGATGATCATGTCATTTGCTGTTCTGTTATGAGGTTGCCCTAACCAATCATATCTTTCTGAACTATTTTTGTCCACTTATGTTTAGCTTATCGTTTGGGCACCAACCAGAGAGAAAGCAATAGAAAGAATGAAAAGAGCCCTGAATGACACTGTTATCACAGGTTGGTGAGCTATTAATGGCACTGTGAATCATAAAACTTAGGATATTATTTTTGGTAGTTACTTTTGTCATGTGACAACACTGACACTGTCATACATACATATGGAGGAGTACATGGCATTATACTTATCTCTTTGCATCTGTGTGTCATCTCCTGCATTTCAAACACTACACTTTTATGCAAAATTGCATGTATCCCTCCAAAATGTATTTGCCCCTTCAAATTTATGTTTAGTGTGTATGGATATATATCAAGGTTTGCTGTATAGTGGCAACCGCCTGGTATAGATGGCATATACCTATCTGACAAGAGATTAGTATGGGCGGTACATACTAGTATGTCGATACATCCCATCGTATCATATGTCGGTATGTCGGTACATACCATACCGATGATTGGTCGGTACACTTGTTTGGATTGGTAAGACGAACCATGATATATATAACCTTTCAAGATTTAAATACTTGCAAGTATACTATTGTAGTAAATCGTGGTCAATTGAAGACTAGCATAATGACACTGAAACTCCAAAGCAAATACCTTTAAAAAATATTGCATATACATCCCTCCAAATTTGTATTTTCCCTTTTTATTTAAGTTAGGAAAAAAGAGTCAAATTATCAGTGAGAAATGATAAGGGACATCTTAGGTTTTTAAAAGTTTTGTTACATTTTCAAACTTGTTAATAACAACGGGTGGTAGAGGTTAAAATTTAGGGAGCCAACATGTTTTTCACAAACCTTGAAATGATAATGTGTAAAATACCTTTCATAATGTTATGAGGGTGGATAATATATATGCTACATTAAATTACCCTTTTTGGGGATCTTTTAACATGTCAACAATTCTTCCCTTGTTAATTACATTAAATATTTAACATTTGCTTGCCACTTTTGCCTTGTTTTGCTTTCTGTAAAGGATTTGATGGAAGAGGCATTTACCTGAGTTTGCTATACCTTTATTTAAGTTGCATTATAGAAGTAAAAAGTGTCTTTTCATATGATACACAAAATCTGAACCTTCTTTTTCTTATAGAATAGGTAGTATGATTCTTTAAATAACTATGAGCACTGAAGAGTTTATTTTCTAAAAGCAGCCCACTTGCATATGCTTTATGTGATAAATTTACAAATTATGCTAGTTGATTTGTCATATAGGATGCTTTGTTCTAAACATGTTTCCAACAACTGATTATTAGTATCTTATCTGGACAGGGGTTCCTACCACAATTGAGTACCATAAGCTAATTCTTGACGTCGAGGTATTAAATTCCTGTTTGCTGAAGGCTTTTCTTTTGTTCAATAATTCCCAAAGATTCTTGCTTGCAACGAGAAAATTATGCTGAGAAATTCTTGGTTCCTGACTTTTCTCATCTATGCATGTTTATGGAAACACAGGACTTCAGAAACGGAAAGGTGGACACTGCATTCATACCCAAGCATGAGAATGAGTTGGCTGCAGTGAGTATCTGTGTCGCTTCTAATTCCTGAGATGCATCTATCTGATGAGAGTTGAACCATTTTCTTTCAATGCAGCCCCATAAAATGATCCTGTCTGCATCCGAAAAGGAGCTTTCTCTATTGAGCAATTAAACTCATGTCTGGTGCACACATTCTTACTGGTAGAAGATTTTGTCACCAGAATAACCATTTGATCGTCTCTTCAAGCTTCTACCAAGAATTTGCGAGGCATTCTGCCTTCGAGGTATTTTAATCAAAATAACTTGCAAATTTGTGTCGGCGTAGTATCAGCTGTAGATTTTTTATAGATGTGGATTCCCAGATTGGTTTTTTTTTTTCTGGACTAATTATGATTTGTTAAGCATTGTGATGATACCACTCTCCGATGTTTTAGTCATGTCTTAGTAACTTGGAAATGTATTGCTTGAGAACTCAAGACAGCCTAATTCGTTACTTGAATTTAATTGTGTCTAAAACTATTTTAAACCACTTTTCTGAGTTTGAATTTACCCATATTTATATCTGAAATTTTTATTTGACTTATTTTATATCTGAATCGCATTCATATGTTGATATCAAACAAATACGAGTACTATCGGGGTTTCTGTCAGCTGACTAAAAGCAGATGCGGATTTGATTCTCCGATCCGCATCCGATTTGTTTTCAATCAAACGCGGACCGGTCTTGTAGCACCAAATTGAACCGGTTTTATTAGTAGATTTGGACCAGTCCGCCAAAAGGGTGACGATGTATCGTCTCTGAGCAGGCGTCGTCCGAAAAGGCCAACCCTAAATTCTTGCCGTCGGAAGCGGCCGCCGAGATGCCGCCTAAGTTCGATTCGACCCAGGTCGTCGATGCCTACGTTCGCATGACGCGTGGCGAGGTGGTTGCCGCCGGCTCCCTCGCGCCCAAGATCGGGCCCCTGAGGCTCTCCCCGAAGAAAGTCGGAGAGGACATCGCCAACGAGACGGCGAAGGAGTGGAAGGGCCTCCGCATTACCGTCAAGCTCACCGTCCAGAACCGGCAGGCCAAGGTCACCGTCGACCCCTCGTAATGAAGGCCCTCAAGGAACCGCAAGAGGACCAAGAACATCAAGCACAACGGCAACATCTCCCTTGACGACGTCGTCGAGATCGCCAGGGTCATGCGCCCCAGGTCCATGGCCAAGGACCTCGCCGGCACCGTCAAGAAGATCCTCGGCGCCTGCGTCTCCGTCGCCTGCAACGTCGACGGGAAGGACCCCAAGGATCTCCAGACAGAGATCTCCGGCAGCGACGTGGAGGTGCCGCTCGAGTGACACCAGGTTCCACTTGCATCCCCATCATTTTGCTTCAAGTTCTTCCCTTTCTTGCTGTTTCATGAGACTTCATGGTTTCTGGATGCAGTTTAATTGCAGTGCAGTATCATCGTCGATTCTTCGTCTGGTTACAAACGGTAACATTTCAATCAAAATGTCACCTTTTTCTAGCAACTGATGCTTTTCTGTTTGTTGATTTGATCTATGCTGGGAAGTAAATCTAGAATTCTACAACAAGTTTGATGTTTGAAACCTTATAGTGTAAATGCTGCTTCATTCTTGTCAGCTCATTCTGCAAGTATGCCACTTAGAACATTCATAACATCTATTGTTGATTTCAAAGGCAGACTCGCTGTGTTTACAGAGACGAGAAGGGATTTTATTTGATTGACAAATCATTAAAATGATGAAAGCCAACTCAAAACGAGCCCGATGTGTTCACCGCCTGCCGTTGAATCCACATCAAACGGCTGATATCTTGCCATCCGTTGCTGCCTCATCCACCCTCACCTTGCTCCCGCAGCAGCACGCCGCCTTCTTCCGCTCCGGGACCGGGCCGACGGCCGCCTCCCTCCTCTCCAAGAACTCCCGGTTCTCCTTCCACACCTCCCCGTTCTCGTACACCTCCTTCTTCCATATCGGCACCGACGCCTTCACCTCGTCGATGACGTAGCGGCACGCCTCCATCGCCTCCGCCCGGTGCACCGCTGACGCCGCCACGAACACGCTCGCCTCCCCCACGCCCACCGTCCCCAGGCGGTGCGCCACCGCCACGCGGAGGACCGGCCAGGCCGCGCGGGCCTCCGCGCACACGGCCGCCAGCCGCCGCGCCGCCATCGGCACGTACGCCTCGTACCGGAGCTCCACCACGCGCTTCCCCTCGAAGGTGTCGCGCGTCGTGCCCTCGAAGGTGGCGATGGCCCCCGCCGCCGGGTCGCGCACGTAGTCAACGTACCTGGCCAGGTCGATCGGGCCGGAAGACGGCTCCAGGATCTCGATGAGGTCCTTCTCCTCCGCCTGTACCTTCTCCTCCTCTGCCATGGGGAATCTGCAAGTGGTAGAGTCGGTCTCTTATCTGGACCGAAATCGCACCCGGTTCTTTGTTTCGTACGGTTGGTTAGGGTTAGGTATCGGCCCACTAAGATAAAAATGGGAGCTACATCCACCGTTCATTGCCGCAGCTGCCTCAACCCGACATCCTTCTTCCACGAAGGCGGGCCACGAGGAAGAGGTAAGCAGCGGATGGCCATGCGATCTCTGCGTTTGCGCATCTTAAAGCATGTGAGAAGAAAATATATGTTTTGATAGAGATACTTTATGATTATATCATAAAAAAATAGGAGAATACGAAAAAAAATTAAAGCCCTTATCCGCGTGTCTACGGTTGAAGATTGATGTCCTGTGTTATTCACGTCACAAATATATATATATATATATATATATATGTTATCAAACCATTTTTTGTAACTCTATCCAATAATAATTTTAATTAATTCAAATCATCCACATTTATGACTCCCACATAAATTCGTGTTATAAGTTTCTGAGATATCATAAAATGATGTGTGTGGAGAAATCAACTGTCTTTCATGATAATGATGACACCTGGCATCATTTTTGTAAAAGGAGGTATTTACAGAAAAAAAAGGGCTTATTTAGAAAAAGCCAAATATGTTGGGCCTTTGGCGAAAAATTCCCCGAGAGAGAAAAAGCCCCATCTCGGCCGTCACAAAGACCAATTACAGAGCACACCCGCAAAAGGAACCCTAAAAGCCTATTCCTTTCTCGCCGGGAACGAAACCCTCGAGTCGCAAGAATGTCTCAGGTATTCCTCTCCTCATCTCTTGGTTTATAGTTTCACCGATTTGTTTTGATGGATTGTTTGCCCGTTGGATCGTGTCCGGTCCTTGATCTGTCGCAACTCCTCGTTGATGTGGTCAAATGAATCTTCTCCTTCAGATTTCTGTTTCACTAAGTAATCGTCTGTAGATTCCGGTCTTATTGCTTACTATCGTATTATGGTTTCCCTATTAGATCGTTTCCAGATGATCCGTCGTCTGTTCGTGAAGTGTTCATAGTCTGATCATAAGCTAATGTCTGTTCCTTCGTCTGTTCGTGACGAATCTCGGATGTTGCTAAACTTCAATTTTGGATAAACTCGTTTTAATCGAAGTTTTATCAGTTTAGTAGTATCAGAGTCTTCAACATATGCTTATTTCTATGTTTAATGTCCAGTAAATAGGTTAAACCTTTCTTTTCTGTAACTCTTTTTGCTGTTTTCATTATATATTGCCGCACAATTTAGCACATCAATTAAAATAGTGGCGGCAGCTTATGAGGAATCTTTGAATCCATCATTATCATCAATATTCCTCCTCGTATTGAATAGGCTACGATTTAGCTTTAGCGATTTCATTTATATCCGAATGAGCACCCTCAAAAGCCGCCACTATTTTCAGAAGAAATCCAGCAATAGAACTATGGTAATGTGTGTGCTGTTAATTTGCAGGTTCTTTGATACCAAATTGAGGCTACTTAGATGATTTTCTATGAGTGATATTTAGTACTTAGTTTTGTATTTGACAGCTCACTATCCTGCCACTTTATGTGCTTTGTTCTGCAGGTGGATAATCGAAGCTCATCTGCTGGCAAGCGGGCCAGAACTGATGGTATGAACAGACTTTTATATGATCATCATTTATTATGTTTATTGCCCACTGAAGAAAATCAGGGATCAATATAATGATTTTCTTCAAAAGGTGGCCGCCGAGAAGATGATTGGACATGCCCTAGCTGCGGAAATGTTAATTTCTCATTCAGAACCACATGCAATATGCGGAACTGTGCTCAGTCAAGGCCTGCAGATCATAATGGAGTAAGTCTTGCCTGAGGTTCAATGGATCTAGATCTTTTTAACTCATAACAATTAAATGTGTTTTCAAAGGATATAATGAGGTTAGTGCATCATGCATGTTTATATGCATTACTTTTTTTATGTATTTTTGCCCCCCTTGAAGAAGAATGAAGAAGGTAAGAGGGGTTTGGGGGTTGAGATGGGTCTGCTGCAGCACTATTGGATGCCCGGTTGTGTATGCTCTTTTGCAAACTTGAATTCGTTAGTATGCTTAGACAACTGTGCAAGAGGTCATCATGATGCTTTTTTTTTTTCATATTTTCTTTTAGTGGCTCTCTCTTCATTTTGTCGGTCACTTTCATAAAGCTTAAGGCTTATGTTTTGTTTTTTCCTTTTTGATAAGCTCTGGGCATGTAAAAGATGTTCACTGACATTGCAGGAACTGAAACAATAATTCTTCAGTCACAATTCTGTTTTCCTCCTTTTGATGGGTAGAATCTGTATTTTCATACTTATGTGCTAGTATTGTTATTGTCCAGAAGTCTGCACCGAAGCCTATGCAAGCTCCACCCCCTTACTCCTCTGCAGCTGGCTATATGGGTTATGGTACTCCATCTTCAATGTATCTTCGTGCTCCACCATACGGGTCTTCCTTTTTTAATGGTCCAGCACTGCCTCCTTATGATATGCCTTTCTCTGGAGGCTCTGCTTATCATTATGAGTATGGCAGTCGCCTTTCTATTGGGAGTCCATATGGACCATTCCATATGTCTGGACCTCCACCTTATTCTAGTGGATCTATGATGGGAACAGGTAGTGACCTTTGCCTATGCAATTATTTTTTTTCAAAGTAAGCCAGTAACTTTTACCATTCATTTTTCCGATGATCATGACAATGTTTTCTGATAGGAACACATTTTATCAAATTGCAAGTTTTATTATATACACAAATTTTAGCAAGTTGGAAAGCCTATTACACTTACCGTTGGGTGGTATAAAGATCTACCAATATACTGGATGTTCAAGGATTACAATTTGAAGAATTACAATTTAGTGGTATAAAGCCTAATACAATACACAAATTGTTGAGAATTACAATTTCATATCATGGATGTTCAAGGCCTCCAATTTTCTTCAATTTGGAGAGGGGATATCAATTTGTGTTTGTTTTTCTTAATTATTATTATTTTTGACTCTAGTCAAATGACTAGAAGCCTGTTGATACCGAATTTGATGTTCTTTTTCACTTCCTTTATCTGTGCCAGTTTAATGTCTATGTCTGTTCTAACTTTTTCTTATTTATTAGGTGGTATGTATGGTATGCCTCCTATGGTGGATAGATATGGCTTGGGTATGCCTATGGATCATGGTGCAATGGTAAGTTCTATCAAAGTAAGCTTTTATACCTCATGGTTTAGCCTGTTCCTATACTTGAATTTCACTAGTTGTATTTAGGAACACTGTGTCCTGTATGTATGTTATCCTAAGAATGCCTTAATTGATATTTTCGACCCATCACCTTCTTAAGAGTTGCAAATTTGTTTATATTTCCTGTAAATTCACAACTCTATAATGTCCGCTGAAAATTCTGCAGGGAGCCAGGTCTGGAGCATATTCTGATGAAAGTTCTCAAAACAAGAACACAGGTTCTTGTTCTGATATTTTGATTTTCAAGTGAATTATTGAGATAATTACCAAGGTTTTATCTCTTTATTTTTCATATGCTACAGGTGAAGGACGTGAGAATGATTGGACATGCCCTAATTGTGGCAACAATAATTTCTCTTTTCGAACTGTTTGTAACATGAGGAAGTGCAACACTCCAAGACCTGGAAGCCAGGTTTGAGTACATTGGATTTCAGTCCCTTTTCTCTTGATGAAATACTTGTTGTTGTGTGTTTTAGCCATATGATGTGCTTTTTGTACTTGAATGTGCTAGCTTTTATCAACAATCATCACTGCTGCGCATGTTTGAATGCTGTTACGTGTATTTGCTTTTTTGTAATTTCCCTATCTCATCATTTGTCATCATATAACTGTTCTCTCTCTCTCTCTCTCTCTCACATACACACACATGTGCAGTTTTTTTTATAATATAATATAATATACTGAAGCAATTTTTTTGTATCTGGATTGTGATGGAATACCAATATACTATCAGGAAACACTTGAAATTTTTTCACTCGTGCCAATTTCAAGCTCCATGCTTCCTGTTTTTCCCCTTTCTCCTTGTGAATGCTTGTACTTCTTGCTTTATGCTCAGATCTATAATAAATGCTAACCTTTACTGACCTTTATTTTTCTCAACTGTTGTGCAGGGCTCAAAATCGGAGAATTCAAAAAGTTCCAGTAAGTCCAATTCTCTTTGTGCCTTTTGAGCATACATCACGGGTCTTTTTTAACACATCGTAAACCAAAAAAATGCTTTTAAAAAATTATCTGTGGTATTGGATTGTCTTTATTATCACCTTATTCTTAATGTTGATGCATGATGAGGAGAATAACTTCTGGGCTTCTTTGGTTCATGCCCTTCACTGGCTAATCCTCTTTGTCCTGACATCTTGGTTTGAGCTTTCCATCAGCAGCACTTTGGTTTAATTGTGTTTTTGCCTATACTGCAGAACCAAAAATGCCAGAGGGCAGCTGGAAGTGCGAAAAGTGTAACAACATAAATTATCCGTTCCGTACCAAGTGTAACCGGCAGAACTGTGGTGCAGAAAAACCATCTCACTCAATATCTCATGGGTTGACATCCAGTGAGGATGATCAGGTTCGTTATTGTAAACACATGTACTTATGCTTGTTTCTTATGTTGGGTTTGAGTAGTAATTATTGTGAATATAAAGTACAGAAAAAAGTTCCTTGTATTCTTTTACAAGATATCAGTATTCCTAAAAATTCCACTTTAGCTTCTCTTGCCATATTTTCTATCATGCATTGATACAATATGTGGTTATGTTACAGTGAGTCCTAGGACTGTTGTGAGGGTCAAGAAGGTTCAAAGTCGTCGTCAGCGTCGCACGGTTGGTTGTTTGTGGTCAGTCATGTGTCCTATAGTTGCAGCCATCAATGAGTTTCTCCATCTTCATGTGATCTAAGTTGAGTCAGTGTCGCAAGGTTAAGTTATATGCATCTGGTATCTTGGCTTATACTGGTTCTCTATGCATCTCTTTCACGGAAATGTTCAAATGTTTGGCCAGGTCCAGTTGTGATGGTACTTGCAGGTTGGTTCTGTTGGTTGCTGTTTCGTCATGAAGACTTTTATGTAGTAGTTCAGTTGTGTTTATTTGTTTCTTAGATCATCAAGCAACTGTTATACACTATGTGGATGGTCTCCTTGGTTTCACTATCTTATTTGGAGTCATGGTCTTGGTCTTAATTAGATTTGTGATATGTATGTACCTTGAAAGATGATCCTTCTGAGGGCTTCTACCTTCCAGAATCTAAGATCAAGTTAGTTTTGCTTATTTATTTATTTCTCATTCTCTTCCATCTTGGTGTATCTGGAGAGTTCAGTTCCGGTGATAGAGGGTGGTGGCATTCAGTCGTCTGTCGGATGTCGAACTTTTTGAATCATCTTGTCTACACTGCTTCTTCTCTAAAGAATGCTGGCCCTTCAGTATGTAATCATGCCATATAAACTAAATCTCTAACATGTGCATCGTAAACCATCTCATTTCCTAATCATTGTATGGATTGCATTTTCCTTTAAACTTTCTTTCTTTAATCTTCGCACCAATGCAATGAGCTAAGTTTTGTTGTTTTTGGCCTATTTATTCACTGTACTATTCATTCATTCATTCATTAGCCATTACAGCCGTTTTTAGAAACAACAAAGAACTTGGGACACTGTTAGATGTCGTGCCAAGAATATATTGTGTAGGCGGGTGCTTTCACCTCTACCATTTGGCCCAAGAACACCTGGCGATCAATTGAAGTTGCCTTTATTTTTTCAGCAGTATCTGTTGGAATAATTGTAAACTGTTCATAAGCATTTGTTAATTGTGGATTAAGTACTGTCCATTGTTTCTATCACTCATTATTCCAAACCTTGTTCTGAAGATAAATTGCAGGTTTAGTTTATAACCCATTAATCCCCCCCTTTTTTTTTCATCGCAAACCTTGGTCAGCTTAAACAGTAAAGGTACATACAAAAATTCATATGTTGTTATTTTCCTCCTCTTTTTTTGTTTGAGAGGAATAAAAGATGTACATCTTGCTGCAATTCCTGTACTATTTGTTATGCATATTATATCCACAGAGAACGGATGTGGGCAAAAGATCAAAGCTAATCCCGTAGCCATCCGGAAGAATCATATCAGATTACTTTGATTTGATAAACGTACCACCAAATCGAAGCTTATCCCCAAATTATCAGATGCTTATTTCACAGTTGGATATCGATGCAGGACTCTCCATCTACAAATCTATACGTCGATGCCACTGTTATCAGGTCACGATATAATTGGAGATTTTGTCGGATTTTGAGTCATGCGTGTGGAGATTGCTTGACACGCTGTTCATATTTTCTTCTTGAAATTGTATAGCTATTAGATTATTATATAAATTTCTACTGAAATGTAAAACAAGATCCGTTGTAGTCTAGTTGGTTAGGATACTCGGCTCTCACCCGAGAGACCCGGGTTCGAGTCCCGGCAACGGAAACATTTTTTTTGCCCGCTTAATAAATTTCTACTGCAGCCTTGGCAGTAGATGGTGCGTCCCTTGTTAACGGTATCTTGCCGATGTTGATCTCTTTTCTTGCTGCAGTTAAATCCTTGTACGTTGTTAGTATCCTAATGTCTGTATTACAACGTACAGAAGAATCTACCTATCTTAGTGCATGAACATATATTAGCTGTGATGAGGTTATCTCAAGCCTCTGTCATGTACTTACTTTGTGAACTAATCATCACTCGCAAAACATCTGCACAACATTATTGCTGATATTAAAAGTAGCATAACGAACACAGTTGTTTCTGTCTCTGGAAACTTAATTCTCATTGTCACCGTCTTGTTTGGTAATTTGGTATTGCTGATATTTGTTTCTTTCTGTCTTGGTCATTCTTCTGGTAGTAGCTATTGAATGCATATTTAACGTTGCCTCGTACATCCAGATCACCAAGGCTCGTGCAGTCAGCATTGGCACAAGCATAGCTTGCACTTGGAGCCATCCTTGAATCGTCGAGGCTGACTGAAGGCTTGAGGACGCACCATTTCTTGTCGAGATACTGAACATTCTGTGCCGCTCGAAATTTCCTGGCCGGATGCTCTTTTCATCCTCATTGATCAAGATGTGGTTCATGAATCCCTGATTAAATCGTTGAGCATACTGAGTGTTTGCATTCATATCACCATCAGTTGGCCAGCCAATCTCACCAACAATTATAGGGAGATCTCCGTATCCATTCTTCTTCAGGGCCCAAATGAGAGTATCATGGTTTGCGTCGAACATGTTGGTGTAGTTAGTTGTACCGTCAATAACAGGCACAGACTTTCCCTCAAAGAAAGCATAATCCACTGGAAAGTTTGGATCACCGTAGAGGCTGATGAACGGGTAAATGTTGACAGTGAAGGGAGCTGCATTGTCGCTAAGGAACTTCACGATAGTAAGCACGAGATCATGGATGTCAGCTCGGAAGTCCCCATCGGATGGTCTCCTACTTGATGATTGGTAAACATCAGCATTGAGAGGGATAGTGACTTTGACCTGGCTACTCAGACCAGCCTTGATGAGAGCTCCTTGAATGTTTTGGAGGGCTGGGAATGTAGTTTGCAGAAAGCTCCCATTGTCTGTTTCCGAGAAAGGTTCATTTCCAACTGTGATAGAGCAATTCTTCAGGTAAGATAAGAATCAACAAGCATCAACATAGTTACCAATATTCAGAATAAGATTTTCTTATGAAGTTTTACTAGTCAGTGAGAGTAGAATAGGTCAAGTTGTAGGCCAAAATTACATGCTAAAACATACTGGGTTCAAAGCTTTAAGCATTCAAATAGAATTGAAATTTAAGAAATGTCAGTCCAAAAAGCAGGACTCTAGATCTGATTCAGAACACATTTCTCGACATGGAAGTACATGAAATTTGGTGAGGCTTTACAGGCCACAGGGGAACTATGAAACAAAGGATTTTGAAGATGCAAAAACAGTCAGAACCATGAATCTGTGATCACTATCATTAATTGCTAGATCTGATTATCGCAATGTTAAACTACTTCTGAAGAAATATATTATTTATAAAAGATAAATAATGAACAAACAGTAAAGAAACCTAGCATGGTAGAAGCAATTATATTCAATTATACAAAAAAATATTGTTGGACAAAGATTGCATCAATCACAGACCAAAAAAAAAGGAAAATAATAAACTAGCTGTGGAGACTTATTTGTGCATTTTCCAACTAGTGACTTGGATTAGGAGTTAAAGGTAGAACCATAGATATGTATTTTCTGACCATTGCTCTTTGGACAAATATAAAATTTGATGATACATGTAATATGTTGTGATACATGTTAACATTTAGAAGGAATATCTTCATCTGAATGAAGCACACCAAGTCAAATGAACACCGGGATACATTACCTGATAATGAAGAGGGATAAAAAAAAAGAGAATATGTTTGTTCCAACCAAGATAGGTTAATGGCAAGTAATGCATGAATGCTCCAAAAAAGAAAAGGAGTTACTTGTTCATAGATTATATTTTAGCTGTCTATAATAAGTACTGTCTTTTCTGTTAATATTTATTTTTCCTAGCTGCAGGAAACACTCTCAGATTAGAGGAAATACAACACTGAGTAAGCTCTAAGAACAAGCACATTTTCACTTGGAAGGGAGATTGATTTCAAGGTGATTTGCCTTTCAAACAGAAGATCAACCATCAATTAGGTGTGTTTTGTTTAACCCACCAAAGTTATAATCTCAATGCCCATCCTTCTATAAAGAACTCAAGGGAAATTGGAATTATTATTCTTTTGTTCTTTTCACCTCCACAAATGTGTTCAAGAACTAGATAAACCACAGAGATAGAGCATGATAGAACAAGAACTGGAGAAGTACCTGATGTGCACTCTACCATAGATGTATTCAGAGACATTCCTGGATACCCAGTTCTGTGCTGCTTTCATGCTGGTGGCCAGCATTGCAAGCATGCCATTAGGGATGCCAACCATCACCTCCAACCCACTCTTTCTCAGTGCACTCAGTCCCCTCGCCAGCATCAAACAGCTTCACCTTCTGAAACCGATTGTAATTGAGCATTTGAACCACTGTCTGTGGTGGTAGAGGGTGGCTCGCCTGCGTCCCCCATTTAGCACCAATCCCACCCACACAGACCACCAAGCAAAGCCCAGAAATCACCCTAAACCCCACTCTGAACCAACCCATGTTCACCAGAAATTTGGCTACCAGATCTCTGTAACACTTGTGATTCCACAACCATCATGCCACAGATCAAATCAGCCTCATAGACTGGAAAATCTTGCAATATCCATAAGAAGCAAAAAGTTAGGTATCATTTCAGAGAGAGAGAGAGAGAGGGGGGGAACTCAAAGCCCAACTGATGATGGTGCTAAAGATCCATTCCAGAACAGGAAGAAGGAACAGAGATGGGATGGAGCCATGGAGGAGCTCACTGGGACAAGGCAGTGGAGAGTAGAAAAGAGACTCTCTTTCCGCAAACACCAATCCGAACGCACCTCACTGCTGCAACAAGGACCATCCAGACTGAGGACACTGCCTCTGAATGCAATATCAAGAACAAACCGAAGATTAGCATATTGCTGGTACAAATTAGCATTGCGGGCAGGTCTCAGTATCTAAAGGTAACGCAGAGCACCACATGACATCGTCTTCCTTCTTCTTTCGCTGTGTGTGACAAAAGGTTCGACTTTGTCTCTGTTGCTTTTGCATTACACGAGTAATCTTACTCTCTAATCATACAATGAGTTCAACACGACAACGGATGGGCACGAATCACGAGGTTCTCGACGAATCGGACGACGTCGACACCTGAAAGGTGCACGAATCTGAATGCACCCTGTTGCGCGGGCTCGGGGGCATCAGGCGAAGGTGGAACCGCAACGTTCCACGCGGACGGTTATGATCACCGGAAGACGCCAAGCGTGCCACCAAGCGCGCCAAGACACTAACCTTAATGCAACCACGCCTCCGCCACCTCGTCCCCTCTGTCTCTCTCTCTCTCTCTGTGGCTCTGTTCCAGGTTTCGACGGCCCATTTCGTTGCCCAGAGAGAATAAAGGCGGCTTCTTGGTGCTGTTGGAATTCGCGACTCCGCTGCCATCCTGCGACTCTTCTTGCGCTGCTTCTCATGGGTGACATGACACAGCTCTCTTCAGGTTGGTGTGAGCTTCCCCTCTTCTTTGTTCTTGTATGCATTGTGTTATTCTTGTGCTTCGGGAATAGAGGGTTGTTGTTTTGTTCCAAGATCTGAAACCTCAATCTCTAATGGTTTGTTGTGTGACTGCTTGTTGGGAGTAAACATTGCATGAGTTAGTTTTGTTCTTAGGTGGAAATCTAAACTTACTTCTAAGTATTGGATTTTGTTGTGTGATAGCGTGCTGGGATTTGGGAGCTATTAAGCTGTCTATCTCCTCTGGTGCTTTTTCTTTTTCCTAAGGTAGATAGTATTGTTATTTTATTCTATAACTGTAACTGTTAGGATATGGCCTCTCCAAAGAAGCGAGGCTTCTCTACTTTAAGAGAGAGAAGAACCTCCAAGATATGAGGAGCTAATTCAAGACAAGTTAATTCTATTGCATAAAAGAAGATAACAATCTCAAGTCACGCTGCAAGAGCTTACAATTATATATATTAATGTCATCAATAATCAAATGAATGAGAACTCTTGAATGACTTCAAATACAAATCTAGATGAAAAAAAGGGCATTGTACCTAAAAAAGCTCTCGATGTTGGCCGTTTACCAAATGACAGCCCTCTAATTGATTTTTACCTTGAGGTTTTCCATTTTCATCAATTTAATGAAAATACCCTTTGCCCTCGATTGTCGTCACCTTCGCCGCCCATTGCCTCCTCCTCATCCTCCCTTTCCCCTCCTCCTCCTCCTCCCCCAACTACCTGCCTTTCCTCGTTGCAATGGGAGCAGGTGGGTAGAGTGGAGGTGTGCGATGAGGGCGCTAGCTACGGAGGTAATGAAGAGGCGGCAAAGGTGACATTGCTAAGGGAGGGGGCAGTCGTGGTCCACTGAGTCGGTTGCACCACCCTCATCGCATGGGGGTGTCAATGGTGTCAGCATCATCGAGGGCAAGGGTGAGCCCGACCTGGCAAGCTGCTAAGTCGACAACGTAGCCGCGTCGCATGGGGTGTCAGGAAAGGGCGGGCGGCGGGGTAGGAGGAGGAGCGGGAGGGGGAGGATGTTCGACGGGTGACATCGCTCGTGGTGGAGTAGGGAGCTGCGATGGCAGAGATAACGGTGGATGGGAGTGGCGATAACAGTCGGAGCGGTTGGGGGAAGGGCGGAGGGGCATTTTTATCAAATTGACGAAAAATGGGCGCTCATAGGTAAAAACCGATTGGAGAGGCACCATTTTGTCACGGACTTAGCTGATTTTGCCTAAGTCGTGCGGCACCCTTGCGTGTCCGTCCGCAAAGGTCAACCTCCCCGAAGCCTCCCATTGTACCTTAGGACCAACAAAAGAGAGAACGGGTTAGAGAGAACGCCTCAATCGGGATCCACAAGCAAACATCTCCGAAAAACACTTCATAGACAACGCAAATTACAAACAGACTTTACAAGCTCTGAATAGTTGCACAACAAAGGATAAAATGGTCCATTACAGACCGAGAATCTCTCGTACGTGTCCACATGACACAACCTTTATTTACAAGCCTAAAGAGGCCACCAACCCAACTAAAATGGGACTATTAAGCTTTCGATCGCCCCATCTACATGCTGTACAAGGTATAAACATGCCAAAAGACACGGACATACATAAGCATTACATCAAACACCTTGTTTAGAAGTTTGTCCGTGACAATTTGGTAAAAAGCCGAACCTTTTGTTAGGTAAAATGTCCATGAAAAAATAGCTTTTTAAATAACACTATACCTATTTTAGGACTCTTGAACACCATTTGGAATCAAGACTAGACTCCGACTCCCTAAAAATCTGCTTGAGACAATGTGAAATATCTGTCCAAAACATCATAGAAAATTAAAAAACACCAGGACAGTTTTCCTTTTCAGACTGCTGTGTGTTGGTTCAAGATTTTATGAAGTTGTAAACCCCTAAAGAACTGTCAAATCTGCTCTAAATTGATCGAGGGACATATCCTAACACAAATTCCAACTACAAGTCTGGTTCTTGTGATGCATGCAGTAGTTTGTTGGAATTTAATTGGCTTTTTCTATATCCTATTAACCATCAAGGTAGAATATTTTGTGCAAATGTGCTGAAGCAAATTTCTTTTCTAGATTAGTTAAAATTGTTGAGTAAGCTATTGTTCTCTTAACTGTTATTGAAAAGATGGCAATGACTATATTGGCTATTATCTATGTTCTCAGCAGCTGTAGAAATCTGATACTGTTCATCTGCCTACTTTAATCACCAATTATTTGAAAATAGTTTTCTTTCACCCTTTTCTTTTTTTTTTATCAAGTGCCCATACCATGATTTAGTGGGCTCAAAATTGGCATGGACATTGTGCTTCCAGTCTAATAGAGTCAGTTTTGGTGTTATAATTGGTATCCTATGGTCTCGAGGGTCATGATATATATGGCTATGCAATCATTAAGAGAATTTTGAAGAACACCCTGATAAGACCAATTAAATTTGATGATGATTCTCTTCATTTTGTTCAACACATGAGGCATCCAGCTAATCATTGCATTATTGTTTTGTCTAGACTAGCAATAGTTAGTTCTGCCATGTTGATATTTCATGTACAAGTGGCATGATGGAAACTTGCTGCCTACATCCTCTAATTCTTCAAAATCATGCTAACTCTCCTATGTAGATCATGCCATTATGCTTTACACCCTCTACCAAAAAATGTATATATAGACTGCAATTGAATTTCTTGTAAGTTCATCAACTGAATTTGAATTATCTTACAATCAAAAGCTTGTAGAAACTCTAAACTTTTAATGCTAAAAAACATTCTAATCAGGAACTGTGTCCCTTAATCCCCCTCCTCTCCCTTTCATTGGTTTGACATCTCCAAAGTTTACCATCTAAGATTTTGTACAATATTTTGTATGTTTCAGACAGCACATCCATCTTCCTGATCTAGTTTTCTTTGTGTGGTCTGCTAACTATTAACAATAGATGAATCATCTCATGTTAGTATTTTTAACATATTGCATTCATTTCAAATAGAGAACCATTGATTTGATAGTTGATAAGGTAAATACCCAGCCCATTCAATGCTAGGCATAATGAGTATAAGGGCCTCAAAATAACCTCTTTTCGTCCTATGAACTTTAAGGTGTATGAAGTCTCATATTCGAATTTTACATGAATTTGAGCTGAACCTGCTTTGTGATAAGGGCCATTTGTTTCATTTGTCATGCACATGAGATGATATGATTACCTGATCTGAACCTACTTTGTGGTACAGGAATTTGAGCTGGTTTAGGTTCATTATCAAATCATGTTTGAGACAATTCCAGATCATGCGAATGTTCCATATGCTTCTATAGGGACATGAACAACTTTGGTCTCCAGAGGTGATTGAGCCAACCAATTACAAGCTAAGCTTTGGGTTCTCTGTGTTGAAACTACTGTAATGATTGGTGATCTATTCCCACTGATATCAATCCATGAATTCAGCATTTATAGGTCCAATTATTGCATCTACATGTTCTTCCTATATCCTTGTTTGAGTGAGTTAATCGTGTCTGTTGTTGACCATTTCCATCTTCCAAACCTCTTTTTCGTCCCATCTAATCGAGCCATTCACTTCATCTTATCCTTTCTCTTCCACACATGTTTTATTTGTGTGCTAATGGCCTCGTCGTCTCGGTCCTCGAAAGTGACGGTTAAGAGTGTTATCGGTTCGGATCTAGTTGGAAAGCACAAGTCAAAATCCAACAAGAGAAAATAGATCATCTATTATTGACTATCTTTGTGATGCTATGTTATATGACATGTCCATAAGTCTCAATTTGATATTGATTGATTCAATAATTTGTAGGAATTAGATTCGACCTTAATGATTCGTATGTGTTGGGATTCGGATCCAGTCCCGATGTTGGATCCGCGAACCCTGAATCCATCCCTCAATTACCACGTCCGCCTAGAGAGAGAGAGATATATATATATATAATACTATTATTGCTTCCATCAATCGCCGTCTCGTCGTTCTCTCCTTCCCCCTTCTGTGCGTCCTCGTTGTTCGGCTTCGGGCTTCCGAAGAACAAAGAGGTGTGCGCCTATGGATCACTTCGAGGCGCAGAGCAAGCCGGTTTCCGGCGATAGATCCGAGAACGACACCGAGAAGGCGGCGGCAGACGCGAGCGCAGCCCATCTCGCCCCGAAAGGCTCCTCCGTCGCAACCGAGGTCGGCATCAGGTAACAGATGGTTCGTTTCGCGAGCGAATTGAGCAGTGGGCCAATTTTGCTTTAAATTACAGAGAAAAGAACGGTTTTTTTCGTTCGATTTGTTCTTCTAGGTCTGGAGCAATGATAGTGGTCTAAGATTATCGGTTTCGGATCATAATCTTAGGAATTGGCGAGATTAGGTTGATTCAATATCTTCCCTGTACGTGTAGGGTTAAATTGCGACCACATAATCTCCCACTTCACTGGATCTGACAATTTTCTGCTGCTTAATTGCTGAAAGTTTCTTGTTTGATGCGTGTGTTGATGGTGTTCGCCTAATTGTTCTGTGGATGGTTTTTGAGGAACTCGCCGATGCCGACTCCGAAGCCAAGCTCTACGGCGGGACCGCAGCTCATCATGTTCTATGGAGGAACCATCAACGTTTATGACTCCGTCCCCCCTGAAAAGGTGAGCCCTTTGATCGATTTATGTGCATACATGGCAGCCTTTTTGTATCTAATGTGGTCTCATCGGATTTGTTCTGTTGGATACCGGAGCAGGCGCAGGCCATCATGCTCATCGCAG